ACACCCGCAGCTACACCACAACTACACCCGCAGCTACACCCACAGCCCTATCTATAACACAGCTACACCCACAGCCCTATCTATAACACAGCTACACCCACAGCCCTATCTATAACACAGCTACACCTACAGCCCTATCTATAACACAGCTACACCCACAGATCTACTACAACAGGAACCACTGCATCAGCCCTGAACCTGCCTCCACCTGCAGTCCACTCCAGTGACCTCTGGCTTTAATTCAGAATGAGTGATGCTCATTATCAGCCCGCTAACAGTCCGGTGAGCGGCTCTGCGGTCTTCGGCAGAGCGAGTGAGTCAGACCAGACTCCATTTATAAGTCTGGCCTTTTATTGCTTGTCCAGCTCTTAACACGTCTGGCTGACACTGCGATATCCGAAGCCTTTCCCTGCCTACCTGTCTAATCCACCTGTTCAATACGGAATAAATTAGCAGGACGTCTGACCCAAACCCAACGTGCAGTATTCGGAGTGTTCCGTTATTCTCCAGGTACTAACCCGCTGAAAGGCAGCACAACGGGCGGTGGCAGGCAGCCCCCAGCTCGGATTTGTCCTCAAATAACCCGCTGATCTGTGACTCATTCATAAACCGAATTCATCTACAAATTCTGAAATTACCAAACATCTGGAATTGTAACTTCATAAACCGATGTTGCCGTCAGTGCTTCCGAAAACCTTTAATTTGATCATTATCGAGCGGAGTTTTGAATGTAATTCTGATCGTAAAAGAGAAAACGTAATATTTTCGGGGCCCTTTTGCCTCTGACTGAAGCTGCGTGTTAAACTACAGAGTCCGGCTGTAAATAAGCTCCAATTGATTATTTAGACGGTCGAGGTGCTGGTTTTAAAGCAACACTGGAGGCTAAAATATGCCGTAAAGTTCAATCAGTGAAGAAAACGGGCTAACGGTTAGCTAACGACGTTAGCAGCGGAGGCCCGCACTCTGACAGCTGCTCGACTGGAGAACAGCGCTGCTTTCTGTGGGAATTTAACGCTTAAAAAACAGCATAGTCCGGAGCGATGAATAAAAGACCTACCCCTCTTCTGCTCCTGTAGCCCCGCTGTGAAGAAAACAGAGCAGAAAAGCCGTTTATAGACAAATGACGAGGGACCAAACTTCGTTTTTTTCCAGCAACGTGTTCTTCTCCTGGAAGCCGGCTGGAAAGATGGCGGGAGACACGAATTCAGCATGCGACGGGGCTGCTAGTGACGTCAGAATAACGCGACGCGGACTCGCCAAAGTGGGAGATTCGAAGCATCAAAATAGAACCGAGTTAAGGTTCAACTCTCACCTGAGACACCTGCGTTGACGCTGCCGGTGAGTCTGAGTCGGATGCTCCACCGGAAACAGACTTTTCTCAGCGTTCGACTGGCTAGCGTAGCAGAAGCTGCTAGCTGCTAGCTTGTAGCCGCAGCGCTACAAACTCCGCTGAACGTTGATTTCACATTTTAACAGAACTTGTTCTGATTCCTGATTTGTTCTAGCTGTAGAACCGACTTGTTTGATCTCTTTCTGTAGTTGTATTGGCCTAATACTGGAGCCGAACCCAGCCCTCAGCTGAACACGGTACCTGTGTCCTGAAGACTTGCTAACTAACCAGAACCAGTTCTGATCCACAGCTCGGCTCGTCTCAGGGCTCCGTGGGACCAGGATGGCCACGCCGAGCAAGACGCCGCCCGGCGCCGACCCGAAGCAGCTGGAGCGGACTGGAACGGTCCGGGAGATCGGCTCCCAGGCGGTGTGGTCCCTGTCCTCCTGTAAACCCGGTAAAGCCCGAACCAGCCCGTCTTGCTGAACGCATGCGGGTCTGACTCCGCCTGACCCGTGTCCACTCACCTGTGTGCAGGTTTTGGAGTGGACCAGCTGAGAGACGACAACCTGGAGACCTACTGGCAGTCGGACGGGTCTCAGCCGCACCTGGTCAACATTCAGTTCAGGTACTTCTCGACCAGAACCAGGCACAGCGTCTCTTCCTGGGTTTCACTTCTGGACCTTGTTGTCTTACTGAGGAGCATCATTTCATGTCTGACACTGTTCTTGATATACTGATGCAGAAAACATGTTTGTTCCTGGTTCCTTCTCTTTGGTGGAGATGCTCGTGTTTAACTCGGACCTCCAGCAGCAGCTTCTGTCTCCGTTCAACTCACTGAGCTTCATGTTTCCATGCAACATAAAGTCCTGCTGCTCTGTGGAACCAGAACCACATGCAGAAGGAGAGAGAACTCAGAGATGCCTTCTGTCAGCAGGACTCAGTCAGAACCATGGAGACCAGAAGCAAACATGTGAATACATCCATGTTTCCAGATGTTACAGCCTGGAGCTCATCCTGCAGATGTTCAACTGTCTCCATGTTCCAGCCTCTCCACACTTGTTCTCTCTGCTCATCAGCTGTAGAAAGATATTTCATCCTGTTGATGAAACATCGTGATCTAAAGCCAGGTTTAGTGAATTTTCCTGAAGGAGCCTCAGGTCACAGATGATCTGCTGAAGGATGCCTGAAAGTAGAAAATCCAAACGTTTTTCAGGTTTGACAGTTTCAGCTGATGACGTGTAACTGTGGTGTTTTTTCTAGAGACGTCAGGGTTTATGTGGGTTCATCGTGTTAAACACCAGTAACGTCTGATTGTTGTGCAGGAGGAGGACCACTGTGAAGATGCTGTGTATTTATGCTGATTATAAGTCAGACGAGAGCTACACTCCCAGTAAGATATCCGTCAGAGTCGGCAACAACTTCCACAACCTTCAGGAAATCCGGGTAAATCTTTCAACTGACTGTGGTCCTGCTTGAGCTGAAGCTCAGACTGACTCTGACTCTGCTCTCGTCCTGCAGCAGCTGGAGATGGTGGAGCCCAGCGGCTGGATTCACATCTCTCTGATGAACCAGGTGAGGAACTGATTCACTCATGTAACCTGCTGAGCAGGGAGGGTGGCTGTTCCCTGAGTTTGTCCTTACAGGCAGCAGTCAGACCAGCTCCAGCTCTAGAGCTGCATGTTGGACCAGAGGGACACGTGTCAGGGTGGGACGCTGCCGTTAACGTGCATCAAAGTGAGCTGAAGTGACTGTTTGTGTTTCAGCGAACGAACCAGCCCATCAGCACCTTCATGATCCAGATTGCGGTTCTGGCGAACCACCAGAACGGCAGAGACACACACATGCGGCAGATCAAAGTTTACACTCCGGTGGAGGAGAGCTCCATCGGAAAGTTTCCACGATGCACCACGGTGGACTTCATGATGTACCGCACCATCAGGTGATCGGAGACGGAAACTCGGACATGAAGCCCACGACTCAGGCATCAGAACCCTTCTGATGTTTTCAACTGAGCTGCCGACTGTTTGTGGTTCCAGTTTAACGCAAACAGCCAGAAAACACTGAATTAAACTTGGACTTTGTGTTCAGTTCAGAGTTTCAGAAACTGAAACGTTTGTGCCTACAGACTGTTTCCTGTTGTGGATTTGATACCAAACGCTGAATTAAATGTTTCAAAGCCAGAATGTGACTGTGTTCATGTATGAAACAGAGAAAAGCCGGCCGACTGAGCTCATTCTTGTGTTTGCTGTCGGTTTCAGGAAGGACATTCAAGAACTTCCCTTTTCCCTGGAAGGTGAATTTATATCTAGGAATTTGTTGTTTAGTTTTCCTGCAAAACTTTGTTCTTTGGAAAGTGTTGATCTGAGCTTCGTCTTTCATTCTGCGTTTCCATCATTCTGTTACTCACCTGTGAGCGAGCTAATGGTTAGCATCGAGGCTCCAGATGCCGTTTCCTTTACCACAGAAACACTGAGTGTTTGGTGTCTGTGACCTCCAGCGTCGTGGTCAAGAGCTCCAGGCTTCAGCAGATGATCAGGGGGCGGAGCCACGCCATCAAGGTCTCACCTCCAGAACATCATAACTACCTACACAAAATTAAATTATATTAATAATAATTAGCTGTCTAGCAAGTATCACCCACTTGATCTGAACAGGGATTTTGGGGTGGGGCCATGATTCTGTGACTCCGCCCCCATGTGTGCAGATTTCAGTCTGTAGTACAGAAACATTCAAATAAAGTTCACAAACTAGAACAGAGTTGGTTCGGTGTTGCCAGAAACTCTGACTGGGGTCAGCTGATGTTTGGGAAAGGTTGACCCATTGGAGGCAGCAGGTTCTGCTGATCTGGACCAGAAGCTCTGGTCAGCCAGTCAACCTTCTGGGCTCACAACCCATCTGGTACCAGAAGGAGGTGAAAGTTCTGCTGGGTCCACGGTGAGCGTGTCTCAGGGTTCAGGTTCAGAGAACGTTAGCTCTGCTGCTGAGTGGACCGTTGGATCTGAACAGAAGAATCCACATGAGTTCAGGGCGACAGCGGCAAAGAGGCTCAAAGACGCTGAGCAGCAAAAACATGAGCAGAAGGAAGATGAATCCCCGACGCTGGTCCACAAAAAACCTGTGGACTTCCTGAGAAAACTCCCAGAACAGCAGCAGCAGACATCCAGAGGAGCTGCAGCGTAGCGACGGCGGCGGCAGCTGGAAGGTTCTCAGAGCAGATAAAGTCAGTAACCAGTTACCA